GGGGGGGGGGGGGGGGGGGGGGGGGGGGGGGGGGGGGGGGGGAACACTTTCAGCAAGAAAGTTGGGGATATCTGCCTACTGGTTTGGTCCCCAGAAACTCTAAGCAAACATTAACACAACCAAGTATCCCTACGTTGCATGGAAAATCCCCTAATTGTTCAAAAACATCAGAACTCCCAGCATGTGGACCATGTGATTGCCCACATGAGGTCTCATGTGGTCAGCTGAATCCTGGAGGATCAGTGGGCACTCAGGGTTGTGCAGGGCTGCACCCGTTTTACAGGACAGACTCTTATCACTTACTGTGTGTCCCCCTGACGGATCAGGTCACAGATCTGTAGGATGGACTCCCAGTCGGTCTCCAGTAGGAGCTGGCTGGTGGCTTTGTCTGAGGGAAAGAGATGTCATTCAGGATTTGGTCTGTGATTCCCTAGGCAGCCCTTAGGCTCAGCAAAAAGGAAAAGAGAACTTGACTCTTCCCTTTTACACATCTGGACTGAATGGAAAACCACATGAAAATCCTTCCAGAGCACACCATGGAAGGACCATCCTTCCCAAACAAGATGCAAATGGAACGCTGTGACATGCTTGTTACACATTAGGTGCCATTTCAAACACTCGATTCAACCAATTCCCACACAACCCCCTGAGCTAGGCACTACTATGTCCCTGCAGACAGAGAAAACCAAGCAGGCAGGGGGTATAGCTTGCCACACACACAGCAAGGATTCATTCTGAAATGCAAAGCTCTGCTGCTTCTCAGAAGACTCACTTAGTCCTTCAGAATCCCTGTCATTCAGATATTTTAACCCTTCAACTAGATATTAGCTGAACAAGCCATGGGGAGACATGTAACATGAACTCCAGTCCTCTACAAGGGCTCTGAGGAAGGCACAACTGACTCCAGAGGACTCTACAGCTGACACTCTTCTCTCCACATCCGCGTGGCCTCGGACAAAGGCTCTCTGAGGAGCTACCACTCAACTACCGCATCACCTTCCCCAGCACAGAGGGGTCCACTTGGGGGCTGATTCAGCAAGCTTCTGATTCCAACCTTGAAGCGCTGAACCATCCCATAAGCATGTGATGCCGGGCCTGCCTGTCCTACGGGCAAGGAATGTTCCATCTGAGGTCTCTGCCAAAAGCACGCTTCAGAAGGAGGCAGCCTGGAGCCGATCGTGACAGCACCCGGGCGCCTGTCCCCAGACACAGAGCGTTTTCACCAGGAGAAAGGACCACGCACATTAAACACATTCCCTTCTGAAGCTGGCTCTCTCCAGGAGGCTCGGATGGCTCAGCTGGCGCCTCCACCGGGGCGGAAAGGCCTTCTGAACCCAGGGACGCTTTCAGGGCCGGGCGGACAAACGGGCCTGGAAAGGTTCCGGGAGGACACCACCGGCTCCACCCTTGGGGCCGACATGCGGTCACAGGCCCCGCGTGAGGTCTGGGTCAGTCACCCACTTGGAGACTCAGACTCAGACTCGGCCCCGCGCTGGCGAAAGGGGACCCAAGGCAGGCCCCGCGCCCACCCTCGCGGCGCCGCGCTCGCTGGAGCCCAGGGACGCGCCCGGCCACACCCGAAGCCCGCAGCCGGGAGCCACGGAAGGGCAGCCGGGCGCTGCCCTCGGGTCCTGGGGGCCGCGCAGGGCGGGCGCGTTACCTAGGAGACGCTCGAAGGTGCCGCTGCCTCGCCCCATGGCGACCCCGCTCTGGACCGACGCCGCGGGCGCTCCCCCTCCGCAAGCTGGCGCGCCCCCACTTCCGCTTCCGCCTTCCTGCTCCGGCGCGCGCACCCGCACGTCGCCGCACGCTCCCGGGAGCCGCGAGGAGGCAAGGCCTTCCGGGGGCCGCGGACGCTGGGCGCTGATTGGGCCGCGTTCGCGGCGGCGGCGGCGGCGAACCCGAGAACCAATGATCAGCCCGCAGGCGAGGCCTATCCAATGGGAGCGGGGCGGAGGCGGGCCCGGCGCCGTCCGGTGCGGAGCCGCGGTTGCCTGGCGCAGGGTCTGGATGTGTCTGCTGCTGGGGGCCGCGGGCGTCGGGAAGACGCTTCTGGTGAAACGCCTGCAGAATATCCTTCCGCGCCGTGGGGGTGGGCGGGGGCTTCGCGTAGCCCGGAGCCGGGCCTCCGCCCTGCGCCGCGACTCCGCCCTGCGCCGCCCTCTCCTTGACCACACGCACAGCTGAGCTCCCGCGACTGTAAGGGCGACCTGGGGGAGCCCCCGCCGACGCTGCCCACGGTAGGTGTCGGCCGCCGCAGGAGTCACCTTTGCGACTGACGAAGCCCACCGGCCCCGCAGAGTGAAGCCGTGGTCGGTGTTGGCGACAGTCTTCGGGATTCCCCACTCGATGAGCGGAGCCTGTCGGGGCCCTCCTTGGGGCGGGCACGTTTCCTCCCCCCTCCGGAGGGACCACTGTCGCCATCGCCACCTGCGCGGACCCCCCTTGTGGGCTCTGGGTCCTCAGAAGTGCCTTCTCCCAGTTTGGTGGCTGGCTCTGCCTCGAGCCTGCGGGTAACGCTGGCGCACTGCTATCGGGGTTTCACGCAGGACGGCGCCTGCATTACTGTGTGTGATGGTTTTTCCTACAGGTGGGTACCAACCTTACTGACATCGTGGCCCAGAGAAAGATTACCATCCGGGAGCTTGGGGGGTGCATGGGCCCCATCTGGTCCAGTTACTACGGAAACTGCCATTCATTGCTGGTGGGTCAGCATGCTTTAAACTTCTTTAGAGCCCTCCGGTCCCTGACCCCACTTGGCATGGAATAGGATTTGGGTTCTTAGGCGGCTGTGCTAGTCAAGGAAGCAGGGCACCAATCTTCTCTCTGGTGTTTGTGCCCCAAAACTGACATTAGAGCACAGGATGGGCTTGCTGAGGCCGAGTCTATTCTCTTTTCTGTCCCTGGCTGTGTTCTACATTTACATCTGATTTCTACACTTCTCTGGTTGGTCCCATCCTGACAAGGCCTGTGCTCTAAATTCCAGGATAGGGAACTGATGACCCCATCAATACAGATTTCCATGTAGACAAAACCAGAAATGAATGACATCCAGTTATCTGTCTTACAGCTCATTTTCCTCTGCTTCTGCCTATTCCCAAAGCCCTCTGTTTAAAAGCCACTGTGGTGGATGGGATGTGGCACAGTGGTAGAGCACTTGCCTAGTACAGTTGAGGCCCTGGGACCAATCCCCAGTACTGGGGAGAAAAGTGGTGGTGCGCTATGTATGCCTGTAATTCCCAGATGAGGAGGTGTGGCCACAAATGTCTTCAAAGCAGGGTGTGACTGATGCTTTTCTTCTTCCCCAGTTCATGATGGATGCTTCCAACCCCACCCAACTCTCTGCATCCTGTGTACAGCTCTTGGGTCTCCTTTCTTCAGAACAACTTGCAGAAGCATCAGTCCTGATACTCTTCAATAAGATGTACGGGTTTACTTGCTGAGAGGGAACATGGTGCGGGTCCCATGGAGGAGCTGCCTTAGTGCATGTTTGTTGGTGAAGAGGTGCACCTGGGGGACAGGCAGGTTTTTGGCAGCCATCATTCTAACAAGGCAATTCTTTAACTACAGCGACCTTCCCTGTTACATGACCATTGAGGAGATTAAGTCATTAATCAGGCTCCCAGACATCATTGCTTGTGCCAAGCAGAACATTACCACGTTGGAAATCAGCGCCCGGAAAGGCACTGGGTTGGCCAAGGTGTTGCACTGGCTCCAGGATGAGCACCGAAGCAGCCGGTGACCACAGGGTGGAGAATTGTGCCGGAGGCAGAGGATGGCATTGTTGGGCCTCCGCTGGAATGTTCTTATGGGTTCAACAAGGAGCCTCGCACGATAGGGCTCTGTGTGGAGATGCAGCAGTGGGTCAGCTGAGGCACACGAAACTAGAAGCTCTTGACGACTGGAAGAAAAGACTGTGTCCACGGCTGGGAGAAGAGGACTGCCCTGCTGCTGTCCTGGATGGTGCTGTGACACATTTTCCTGCCACCAGGAAATCTGCTTGCCCCAGGGTATTTGGACTGCATAGTGCCACTGAGACCTAGACTCTTGTCTGCAGTAGAAGCTCCAGGCTTCTAGTTTCTCACCCCCAACCGTGTCCCTTAAGACCTCACGGCATGGTGGATGAAGTGAGCCCAAGTCAGAAACGAGCTTGGTTCACTTGTTCAGCAAGTGGCTATTGCTCTGAGGTGCCCAGAGCATGCATAGGTTCTTTCCTATGCAGGAGGCAAGGAGGGGATGGAGGCCTGTCACCTCAGCCAAGCCAGCTTGTGGGAGAATGCTTACTGTGCTGATTGGTTGTCCGTGTGTTCTGAGGCTTCTTAAAACAAATGACTACCAACTGGGGGAGCTTAAGCCATAGAAATTTGTTCTCACGGTTCGGAGGCCACAAGTCCAAAGTAAAGGTGTCAACTGGGTTGGTTCCTTCTGAAGTGCTGAGGGCAGTGTCCATTCCTTTCCTCTTTTCTCTAGTACTGCTGCAGTCCTTGGCCTTCTGTGGGTTGGTTGTGGACTCCCCCTCTGTCTTCCTCTCCTGGGTCAGTGTTCTCTCTTCTTTACGATGTCTGTAATTGGAAATCTGGGATGATGCGTAAGCCACCTGCAAAGAACCTTTTTCCAAATAAGGTCATGTTTGCTTGTTCTGGGTCTATGGCCTGGCCATACCTTTGGGGTCCACCACTCTACCTACAATAATTGAATAAAACTCATTCTGAGTGAGGTTGTGAGTTTTATAAAAATGGCTCTGTCTGCTAATTCTTCAAGCCCCTGTAGCCACAGAAGGAACCCAGGGACCTGCTGTCTCCTCCTTGGTAAAGCCATGGGAACAGATGGGGGCCTCAGCCTCTGCACAATTCCAGTTGTTCACTCTGTTGGAGAGAGATCATTATTCAAATGAAGGGCTATGAGCCAGGTATGGTAATCTCAGTGACTCAGAAGGCAGAGGCAAGAGGATCACAAATTTGAGACCAACCTCACAACTTGGTGAGATCTGGTCCTTAAAGTATTCAGGGCCATACTTTGGGTTTTCATGCTGTGGGCCATGATGGCAGGTCCTGGCAGAAGATAGCTACATTTTCATCTGCCATGTGACACTTCCCAGAGGACCTCACCATACTGAGCTGGTGCCAGTATCATGCCCTTAAAAATCTCCAGTTTTATGAATGAACCTCTTCTTAAGTAGTCTGCCTGAGGTATTTCCTTATAGCATCAAAAACTAATGGAGTCCAAGTTGGGCTCTCAGAGGTCCCTCAGGTTCACAGGACTTAGGCAAAGCCTAGTTAAAATCACCAAGTATTAGAGGAATCTCTTCAAAGTGAAATTTGTCCATTCTTTAGCTGAGGGTGTGAGGATCCCCGATGTGGTGGGAGCACTAGTGGTGAGTTCTGGCCTCCCCCAGGCAGCCCCTGTAGCCAGAGGCCCCTCAGTCCTTCCAGACCCTCACGGTACCAACCCATAGCTCTCACTTAGGCTCAACATGGGTTTTGCAGCAGCATTTCAGAAATAGGCTGGGGCCAGGAGGTTGGCCAAGGAGCTCATGAATAGTCCCCACAGGACCTGTGTGCTCTGACAGCTAATGGTCTAGCATAGGGGGACTGTCACCTTGGCCAGTAATCAACCAGCCCACCTGTTGGTAGAGGGCAGTGAAACTGCGGCCACTCTACATCCCCCCACCAGTATAAGAATCTTCTGAGCAGATGAGCGTGGCCTGAGTTGTGAGGTTTCACTGAAAAGAAGTAGGGCTTTTGCCTCATTTCTGCCATAGAGCATGAGAATGTGGGCCAGAGAGGCCAGGTTGCTACCTGTTACTCAGATGGGTGGTGTGAAGCCTCCAGGTCACCAAGCTTGAAGCTCCTGCTTCATATCTTGCTCACGTTGTCATATCATCTTAAATGCTTCTTTAAATGTGTGGTGTTTCTTAAATGTGCGGTGATGCACGCCTGCAGTCCCAGCTACTTGGGAGGGTGAGGTAGGGGATAGCAGGTTTGAGGCCAGCCTGGGCAACTTAGCAAAGCCCTATGTCAGAATTCTCAAAAGGGCTGAGGGTGTATCTCTGGTGCAGCACCTCTGGTTTTAATCTGTAGTCCCTTAAGTCAGAGGATGCTCCTTTGGCTGGGCAGGAGGGCCATCGCTGAAGAGCTCCTCAGGCAGAAGAGGCGTCCTGTGTTTCAGCAGCCTGTGCTCCTGGCTAGTGCTGAGTTTCAGGCTGGCCAAGTGTGGGGAGCCACTCCAAATGCACGCCAAATTAAGTCCATGGGGATCGGAAAGATCACAGCAGTCTGGCGGGGTAGTGCCATGACTGGGGATTCGGTCTTTTCCCTGGCTCAGATAATAAAGTGTGGCCCTGGGAGTGGCCCTGGGAGTAGGCGGCACCCCGAGGGGTTGAGCTACACTCACCAGTTCCCTTGGAATCCTAGCCCTTGCCTCATTTGAATGGCTTCTTCCCAATAAAAGGGTTCAGTAAGTGCTCCTTCTACTTGCTCTGGCACACTCTCGCTCTCCCCCGCCCCCGCCCCTGCTCTCTCTGTCTTTCTACGGACCCCTAAGGTCAGAGGAGCTGTCACAGGACCCAAAGAAAAAGGTATTTCTGTCTCTGTGGTTATGTGGTGCAGCCCAGTTCCCCTGGAGCGACCTGAGTGTGCAGTTGTGAAACGCCACAGCAGAGCCCCACTCCACAGGGCCTAGCACTGCAGCAGTCATTGTTAGGGTCAGAATTGATTTCGTGGGTGCTGTAGCAGAGCCAGGGCAGGTTACTTAGAGGCATTGCCAGCTTGGAAGGAGCCTGTACTCCCCACTCTCCTGCTTTTTCCTGTCAAAGGGCAACAATGCAGGCGCTGAGGCCACAGTTCATCATCATGGTGGGTCGGAGGTGTGTCCTTGAAACCTGATGGAGGTGCTGGTTGCTCTCTATTAAGAATGAGCCACCCAGGGCTGGGGATGTGGCTCAAGTGGTAGCGGGCTCGCCTGGCATGCATGTGGCGCTGGGTTCGACCCTCAGCACCACATACCAATAAAGATGTGTCCGCCGAAAACTAAAAAAATAAATATTAAAAAATTCTCTCTCTCTGAAAAAGAAATGAGCCACCCACTGTTTAGCTCACAGAGGGTGACAGTGAACTGCTGAATGTGGGGGGTCCCACCAGGTCCTTTGAGGGGCCCATTGTAGCTTTGTGGGCCTCGGCCCCAGGTGTGTGCCAGCACCTCCTCCAGAGCTGGCTAAAGAGATTACTGCCTACCCTCCTGTACACGCAAAGCCTCCAGGAAGCAGGCAGGCATGGTGGCACGTCCCCTTAACCCCAGCTGTTGTGGAGGCTAGACAGGATGATTGCAGCCCTAGAGTTCCAGACCACTTGGAACAACAAAGCAGGTTTCTGTCTTAAAAACATAAAGGAAAAATGACTGGCCCCACCCCCAGAACTTGTCACTCGGGGACTGGGATGTGCCCACGTGTGAGCAATTTCTAGCCAGTTCCCCACAGCTGCTGCTCCTACTGGCTCTGCACTCCTGGCAGCCCCTGTTTTGCTTTTTCCTGCCACTGCTTTGGACCTGCCAAGTCCCACTGGCCTCCTACAATCACTCCGGGTCCAGCTCTGAAGCCCCACCCTCCACCTTTTCCTTAACTTGAGACCTCCCAGGCAGGCATGCCCTCATCTCCACTCAAAGGCCAGTGTGAGGGCTGGGGATGTGGCTCAAGTGGTAGCGCGCTCGCCTGGCATGCGTGCGGCCCGGGTTCGATCCTCATTAGCACCACATACAAAAAAAAGATGTGTATCCGCCGATAACTAAAAAATAAATATTTAAAAAAAAAAGGCCAGTGTGAGAAGCCCAGGTGAGCCAGGGCTTCAGGCCTCAGTGCTGACAAGTAGCGTGTGATGGGGAACCTTCCTTTCCTACCTCTCAGATTCCTGGGGATGGTACTACAGAGCAGAAGAGACTCAGGGCGTGGGGACCAAACCTGGACTCGTGGGTCAGGCTGCTTTTGGCAGTGAACTTCCTTCTCCCACCCAGCACATACCCCTGCCCTGGGGATTGAGCCCCAGCCCAGCCCTTTTACAAAAACATTAAGACAGGGCTGGGGATATAGCTCAGTTGATAGAATGCTTGCCTCACATGCACAAGGCCCTGGGTTCAATCCCCAGCACCACAGACACAGAAATCAAATCAAATCAAAACAAAACGAAAAAACCATTAAGACAGGGTCTTGGGGCTGGGATTGTGGCTTAGTGGTAGAGTGCTTGCCTAGCATGTGTGAAGCACTAGGTTTGAGCCTCAACACCACATAAAAAATAAATAAAATTAAGATAGTGTGTCCATCTACAACTAAAAAAAAAACAAAACAAAACAAAAAAAAACCACCACAGGGTCTGGCTAAGTTGCCAAGGCTGGCCTCAAACTTGTATCCTCCTGCCATGGTGTCAAACTGATACATGCTCCTCTACAGACCTTGGAAATGAAAGAGGTGTCTGTGAACAGTGGCCAGATTTACAAAACCATTAGCTCCCAAAGTTGTTCACTGGGGTGTCCTGTGAGGTGGGTGAGGATGGAGAGGGTTCACCCTAGCTGTTCTCCATAGGAAGGGTTCTTGCCCTGGGGCTTGAGGGTCTCTGGACTCAAGCTGTTCTGGGTCCAGGCACCTCGAGTGTCACAGCAGTGCACATTCCAATGGCTCAAGCTGCCCCCCAACCATTGAGGACCGCACCACAAAGGACAGCTGTGGGTCCTCAGTACTCAGCACAGGACGGCATGATTGCTGGACGCAGCATTGACTTCAAGACATTTCTGACAGAATTGACTGCTGGAGGAAATCAGTGTGGAGAAAACAGCCCCACGTGAGTTTTTAAACAGGGTACTGAACCAAATTCAGGTTTTCCCTTCACACAGAGAGACCAACCCAACCTGTGGGAGTAGGTGGCCTCAGAAGCTCCTCTCTGACCTTCACCTCTTCAGTGGAACACCTGCCCTGGACTGAGGTATGTCCAGCCCTTGCTCCCCAGAGATGCTGGGAGAGAAGAGCAAGCTGGAAAAGGAAGGTGGTGAGATGAGCTCCGTGGGCTGTGCAGTCTGAGCCGTGCTTCCTGGACGACCACGGCCGCCCCTCTGGTGTCTGCTTTTGTCCCCTACCCAGGCTTTGCACACATTTAGTTCAGGGGACTCCTCTCTGCCAGGGTTAAGGACAGGAATTCAGACTTGGCTGCATCTGGCCGTGGCTGGGAGGCCCCACACAGCCCCTCCACAGGCACGGGAACAGAAGTGCGCCTCTTGGATGCCAGGAGGGAGGGGCCAGCAGAGAGGAGGGTTCAAGCATCACCTAAGACCCAGAACCAGAACAGCTGTGATTTTGTCCTGTACTAGAGGAAGCCCCAAAGGGGACTGCCCCAAAGCCTCCCAAGATGGCACTGGTTGAGAAGCCAAAGCAGCACTGAACACCAGGGTGATCTGTCCAAAGCACATTTGGGAGAACTCAGTGCTGCAGCTCATCCTGGAGATAGCAAGAAAAGGAGTCCTCTGCCTGTGTCTGCAGCCAGGGGAGGTTCAAGGTGCTCCAACTTTCAGCAAGGACACAGCGAGGGGCTGGGAGACCCCATGCGTACCCTGCATTTCCCACTCCCTCCAGACCCTGGATTTCCACGTGGACACCGTGGGGCAACCAACAAGCCAGTACAAACAGCCCCAAGGGATGCTGCACAGGGCACGGTGGCACACCTGTGATCCCAGAGACTCGGGAACTCAGGCAGGAGGATCTCAAGTTCAGGGCTGGCTTGGGCAACGGAGACCATGTCTTAAAATAAAACTTTTCTTTTTTTTTTTTAAAGGCCTGGGGATACAGCTCAGTGGGTAGAGAATCCCTAGGTTCAATCCCAGTACCGTCCCCCAAAAGTGGCAATGCCACCACCAGGCTGCCAGCAGGAGTACTCAGGCAAAGACCAGGCCCCAGGGCTGATACAGGCAAGCAGTGCCAACTGCTGCACAGAAAGCAAGGAGAGCAGAAAATCCGCCAGACACCGGGCAGAGAGCCAGCCCCCAGACAGCCTGGCCCAGCCTGGCCCAGGTGTGGGGAGCAAGATTCTGTTAAGGTCTCTGAGAGGAAGGCCTAAGGAAGCAGAGAGGAGATAGAGTGCCTAATCCAAGACAGTGGCTACAGAGGGCCCATCACATACATAGGTCACACCGCTTCCCGTAGACTCGGAAGCCTGTGTCTTCAACAGGACTGTGCCTGGCACTAGCGTCCTGATGCAAACTAGGAAATCCAGTGGCAAACAGTCTGACTTGTGCTTCTCTGGACCCCAGGCCATCAGTGCTGCCAGATGTGCCTCCAAACAGAGCCACCCACTCCTAATCACCCTTACATGGTATGGGGACACCAGTGAGTTGTCACAAGGTGGCAAAACCACTCAAGAAGGCAATAGCCCAATTTCCAAGAAAATAAAACTTTAATACAAATAAACTTCATTCTGGAAAATGCAAGCCGGGGAAGGGCAACACATAACCAAACCACTTCTCAAGTTCTCCTTGGCCAACACAGTCTCTGCTGAGCTCTCCGGACCACTTCTCCAGGGGCAGACAGGGAGGTGTGCAGCTGGGAAGACTGCTCACTTCCCAGCAGGGTGCCACAAGGTGCTAGGAAGGAACCCAGGGCCTCACATATGCTAGGCAAGCACTCTGTCTCTGAGCCACACCCTCAGTCCAGACTTGGGTTTTAAGTCTCTCCCAATACACACCATCTGTAGCTGACAGCAGGTGTTCCCTCCTTGGATGCCAGCAGGAGATTCAAACCTGGCAAGATCCTGCTCCACATGGGAGTTCTCACCAGTCCTGCTCTCTAATCAGAGTCTGGGCCCTCTCTCGAGGCCAACCCCATTTCCCAAAGACCTATTATGTGGCTCAGAAACCTGCTCCCACTCTCCTGGCACATGGACAGTCATCTGTCTCCAAACCATAGCTGAGCTGGGGCTCCCCCGCCTCTGTGAGGAGCATTAAGTGGGCTGGGGTCCTGATCCCTACAGACCCTGTAAGGTGGTCTAGGCGCTGCCCGTCAGCCCTGCCCCAGGGTCTGCCTGCTACTTGCTCAGGCTGGCCCCTGCCTGTGTTGTGCTGATGAATCCACCAGAGCCTCTTAAACTCTGAGCTGACCTGAATCAGCAGTTTCAATGAGTAACAGGTGTTTAGAGGCAGGTCATGGGATTGGGCCCACGCTTAAGAGGCCCTGGGTCATCTCAGTCTGGACTCTTGTATTTCAGAATGAAGCTAGGCTCAGGAGCACAATGAGACCTGGCTCACTGGCTGGGTCTCAACCAGGTATCAGCACCAAACTAGGGGTCAATCCTGTGATCACCCCACTGGTGGTCAATACCAAAAGGACAGTCCTTAGGGGGAAGAACAAGAAAAGACCTAGAGACTCTCCTGCAAGGCCAGCCGGCGTGCAGGCCTGTCCAGAGAAATCCGTCTGTGTGGCCTGCCTCTGCCTAGGTGCAGCACCCGCAAGGCAGCTTTCAGGGTTCACATAGGCTCTGGATCTCTCCATCATGGCTGTGCCCCAAGTGTCCTCTGGGTGTGGCTAGGCAGCTTTGGAGGCAATGTGCTCTGCTTTTGCTGCTGCTGCTTCAGAGCTCTGTAGGCCTGCACAGCCCGATCCCGCTCCTCCTGCATGATTCGTTGCCGGGCCAGCGAGATGGTCAGGGGCTGGGACACATTGCTGGGGATCAAAAGCTTCCTCAGCATCAGTGACTTCTGGCAAGGCTGAGGAAGAGAAGGAAGGCTGAGGTGCAGGCTCAGGAGATGGCAAAGGCCACACCTGGTCCAACAGCTCCAAACCCGGTGTAGAGTCCTGAATGAGGCCCCCCATCAGCCAGCACCCACAGGTCCTGGCTCTCATTCCCGGGAAGCCCTCAGGGAAATCCAGCAACTCCTCCTCTCCGAGTACCTGGTCCCCCATACCTGGTCTCTGGTTTCACTCCTCCTGGGCTTGGCGGTCAGCTCTGGGGGCTGCAAGACGACCTCTCCAAACTTTACCGTATCTGGAGAAGCAGAGTGGACAAAGGCCTGCTGCCCACACAACCACCACAGCCTTTGTGCGCTGCCCTATCCTACAGGCCAGGACACAGAACATGGGCTTGTTCACTGGCCCGCTCCCTGGCTGTGAACCCCGCAGGAGAGCATGGGCCCACCAAGAGGGCTGGTGCAAAGAGCAGGCCCAGGCTCAGCCCTGTTGGGAGCACCGTGGACATGGCCACTTGGGAAGCAATACCTTGCAGCAGCTCCTGCTCCAGCCTATCTGCTGCCCTTGCCTCCTTCTTCTGCCGGGCTTTGTCCAGTCGTCGTCTCTGGAAACTGGGAAGAAAGCAGGATGCTGCAGAGTTCCTAACCTCTCAGTCCGCCTGAGAATACAGAGGGCACCCTGTCCTTGAGGGGGGTGCCTGGTGGCAGAGGTGAGACCTAACCCCAGATGGCCACTCCTCGCCTCCAATCCACAGTCACCACCAGAGCCTGTTTTGCACCCACCAGGCCTCTCAGGGATTTCAACAGTGGTTCTCAGCCACAAGGAATCTTGACCATGTCTGCAGACATTATGGATTGTCATATTGTTTGGGGCTGGGGGCAGGGACACTGCTGAACACCCTACAATGCATAGGACAGCAGCTCTGAAGAGAACCATGCTGCCCTGAGCGTCAGCTATGCTGTTAGGTCCAAAAGACAGGAAAGTGGCAACACCAGACAAAGCACCTCATCGTGACCCTGAATTTACGGCTTCAGAACAGTTGTGTAGATCACTGAAGCTTCAGGCTATATCTGGGCTGTTTCTGTGATATAATTTTTTTTTAGCTAAAGTGACTACAAGAATCATGAGAATTCAGAAGCAGAAAAACTCTACAAAACCAGAAACAATCTAACTACCCTTTGTAGCTTTTGGAGAAGAATCAAAAAGATGTGACTTGCTGGATATGGTGGTGCACGCCCGGCTACAGTCCCAGCTACTCAGAAGGCGAGGCAGGAGGAGCCCTTGGGCTCACAAGTTTAAGACCAGCCAAAAACAAAGGTGGTCCTCCTCGTACCAGCAAAGAGGGAAAACAGGCAGCTGCAGAAATATTTTCTTAACTTCAACAAAAGCTGGAGTTGGTTCATCTGGAAAAGCTATGGTGACACCTCTCAAAGACACTTGTCTGCTCACAGCAGGCAGGCATGGGGTGGGGGAGCTGGCCCTGGATCTAGCCTGGCTATTGGACCCCTCTGATGCTTTTTCAGAGAAAGGTAAAGATAAAGCAAAGATCTGAGAGTCCAGAGTCCTCTCCCCCAGGTTAAGAAATTGCTATGACCAGGGCTTTTACTCCTGCAATCATGGTCAGGTGGGCAGGGGCTGACCTTGGCAATGAAGCGCTGTCACTGCAGAACAATTGTTGGAACCCATAGCCCCGCCTCCCTGGTGCCTCCAGGTGACCCTGACCCCACCATCCCTCAACTCACGATTTCTTCCGATCAGACTTCTCCTTCTTGGAAGCCACCTGCACTTCTGGATGACGGCTGGCCTGATTCTTACTGAGGAACATCACATGCTGGGCCTCCTGCTCCATGCGCTGGATATAAGCCCCATCAGACTCCCCCTTCCTCTGCTTGAACTTGGGGACAACAATGTCTGGTTCCGTTCCCCTTGCTTCCTTCTCTAAAGTCCTCCTGAAGGCCACCTGAGCTGAGGACAAAGGGAGACACCAGAGGAGCATGGCATGAGGGTCAGGAGGCCCAGGCTCACTTCATCTTCCAAGGTCACAGGAAGGGAAAACAGCCAGAAGACCTAAAATGCCCAGCTTGGCCATCCCTAGGTCCTAAATGCAACCCCATAGCCTGCTGGTACAGGTCAGACCCCACCACAGCACAGGTGAAGAAAGTCAGAGACAACTTCTACATCCACTCAAAGCTGTCTGGTTGAAGGAACTACCCTGAAACAAGTCCAGGAGAGCTATGTGCAGGGATGCAGAGACATACATACAATCCTTTGTAAATGAGTGTGGGCCATAAAATGTACAGCATGAAGGCAAAGATGTGTGGATAGATGGATATATGTTTCCAGGGGTTATACAGAAAATGAACAGTGGTTCCCTTCAAGGGGAGCCAAGGCCACACTTCACTCAAACCTCTTGCAGAGCTGTTTGACTTTACTGTGTGGTGTGAGTGTGCATATATATTATGTGCATAACAAGAAACTTGTACGTGAATATTTGCTTTCACAGCACAGGGTCTTACACATGCTCAGCAAATGTGCTATTAGTAACCTATAATACCAGCTTTAATTTATAAATTTATGCTTGTTTGTTGTGTGGTGCTGGGGATAAAACCCAGGGCCTTGTAATGTAATTGCATTGTTCTACCACTGAACTATATCTTAAATATATCCCCAGCCCTATTCCCTATTTTTTTTTTTTTTTAAAGACACATTTTGCTGTGTTGCTTGGGGTAGCTTCAAATCCATGATCCTTCTGTCTCAGCTTCCCGAATAGCTGGGATTACAGGTGTATACATTTGGCCTGAGTTTACATATTAAAAATAATCTAACAGCTAGGTGCAGTGTGCACACCTGTAATCCCAGCTACTGAAGAGGCTAAGGTAGAAGGATCACAAATTCAAGGCCTGCCTTGGTGACTTAGCAATATCATGTCTCAAACAAAATACAAAAAAGACTGGGGACATAGCTCAGTGGTAAGGTGCTTGCCTAGAATATGCAAGGTCCTGGATCAATGTAGTGCAGCACAGTTCAAAATGTGCCATCCTGGGCTGGGGATGTAGCTCAATGGTGGAGCACTTGCCTACCATGAGACCCTGGGGTGGTTCCCAGCACTACAAAAGCAACTGTCATCCTCCATTTGGGCCAGTATTTCCTCTACCTGCCCCCCTTTCCTAACTTTTTATTTGACCATCCTGTGGTGAAAAGTCCAAAGTTTACATACAAATTCTAAAACAGCACTACGTAAAATCAGTCCTGTGTCTGGGAAAACAAATGTGTATATACATAAGATACAGCCGGGCTCCTGTGCATTCCTGTAATCCCAGCTGCTGGAGAGCCTGAGACAGGAGGACCCCGAGTTTAAAGTCAGCCTCAGCAACTTAGCAAGGCCCTAAGCAACTGAGCGAGAACCTGTCTGTATATAAAATACAAAAAGGACTGGGAATGTGGCTCAGTGGTTGAGTGTCCCTGATTTCAACTCCCAGTACCAAAGAAAAGAAAGAAAATCTCACCGGTTATTGCAGCTTAAAACTCTGATAGATCTCCATCACTTTTAGGAAGAAAAATATCAACACTCCCTCCATGGCTCTTTGAGGTTCCCTGAACCCGTCCCGGATCCTCTCAAGCTTCTTCTGGAGCCACACTACCACCAACACAGCTTTGGTTCCCGCAACACTGGCCTTTGCTCGGTCCTCCTGCCCAGGCCCTGCGCCCAGAGCACTGCGTCTGGGTGAATTTCCTGACTGCAAGGCTCACACCTAAGCTTGTGGCCACCCAGCAGGGGCCTGTACATACCCTCCTTTCTCCTCTTCTTGCTGCTGAGAGGGTTCTTCATCTCCTGTCGGCTCCTCATAATCTCTCGGAGCCGGAAAGGGATTTCCTGTTCATCCTGGTTCTTGGGCTTGCAATTTATCACCTTCTCTCCTTTGCTGGGAAGGAGAATCCGGGGGTGAGACCCGCACCAAGAGCAGCCTAAGCAGAATCAAAGAAAGGGAGGCCGGGCCTGTGGAAGGAGTGGCCCGGCCACCGGGAGAGAGCCCACGCTCCCACCCCCGCCGAGGCTGTCGGGTGCGGAAGGCGCTGCGAGGGCCGGGAAGGCCCACAGCCGGCCTCGGAGCGGGAACGAGGCCCGTGCCAAGCCAGGCACTCACGCCCACTCATCCGACCGACGTTCTCGGAGCCGAGCCCAGCCGGCACCAACGACCCCGGCCCGGCCGCCAGGGGGCGCGCGTGAAAGCTCGCTGACTGGGTCCCCTCCCGCGACTCGGCACCCACCCACGCTGCCCCGGCCGCAAGGCCGAGCGCTGCTGCTGCTGCCCGCGCCGCCGCGTCTGCGGCCGCCCTCGACCGCCAAACCTCGCCGACCCCGCTAAAGCCGCGGCTCGGCGTTCAGCTCCCTCCATCGCCGCTCCTGGCACTTAACCAGTGAAGCCGCTTCCGCTCTCCTTACAGCCCCGCCTCACGAGCACCTCTTCCGCTTCCTGCGCGCAATCCCACGCTCATTGGAGCGGCGCGGCTTCCTGGTGGGCTGGGATTGGCCCGCGCGGCCGCCGCTCACGTCTCAGCCCGGCCGCCGCAATGCTGCTTTGGAGCGTAGCGCCCGGAGGTCGCTCGCTGAGCGTCACCGTCCGCCGCTGGGCAAGTACCGGCGGGCGGGCGGGCAAATGGGGCCGAGGACTCTGGCGGGGGCCGGCCGCGGAGCCCCCCCGCCCCGGTCTGGAGAGGCCGGTTAGCCGTCCCGCGCGTCTGCTGAGCGCCCGCTGTTTGGAGCCCTCTGGGTCCTGGGGCTTGGCGGCGAGGGGGAGCTGAGGCGCCTCGCAGGAGGAGCTAGTAAACGGGTGTAGACTGCCCACGTAGAGTGCCAGGCAGTGACCTGGGCCTCGGGAGGAGACCGACCGAGGGCTGGGGCGGTGGAGCGGGGAGGCCGCCCGCGGGGCCCTGAGGACAGGATGACCGAGAGCCTTGCTTCTCGGGTGGCAGAAACCGGCACGAGACTGATCAGGACGTTCTATCAGGAGGGGCACGGCACACCGGTTGAAGGAGGAGAGGCATCCGTGTGGCCAGGAGCTTGGGGTCTCCCCATTCCAGTCCAGGACTTCTCAGCTAGTGGTCTGAGCTGGGGTCACCACCCCTCCCCTGCCCTGTCTACTGGAGTGCACACCCGGTGCGGAGCTCTGAGCTCAGTCCTCACACCAACCATTCTGTCTGGCTTAGGTATGGGAAAACTGAGTCTAGAAAGGTGAAATAATTTGTCTGAGGTCATGCAGAAAGTGGGGAAGTTAAGAAGGACATGGAGCCAGGAAAGTGACAGGAAAGCTGAAAGCCCCCCAGACCTGGGGACAGGGAGGCCTTACCAGCTTCCTGCACAGTCATGCTTATCTGCATCCACAGGGTGTGGGCTGCATCCTTCACAGGCGCCATGCCCGAGTGGGAGCCAGTGATGGCCACAGAAAGCTGGAGACCGGCCTTGTGGAGGGGGGCTCCCAAGCATGTGCAGAAGACACCAAACAGCCCAAGACCTCCCTACTCCTTGGGGGCCCCTCAGGACCCCCATACTCTCTGCCACCTGAACTCCAGCTTCCCACAAACTGCTGCATGAGTGGCTGCCCCAACTGCGTGTGGGTAGAGTATGCAGAGGCCCTGCTGCGGCATTACCAGGATGGTGGGGAGCGGGCCCTGGCTGCCCTGGAGGAGCACGTGGCCGATGAGAACCTCAAGGCCTTCCTCAGGATGGAAATCCAGCTCCGCACTCGAAGCGGGGACTGAGCCAGCCTGGCCAAGACACCCTTACCCTGGACAGAGGCCAGTCCATCCGCTTCTGCCTAGGAAGCAGCAGTGATTGTTGTTCACACCTCCTGTCTGGGTTTGATGTATCTGACGGGCTCAGGAGGAACTCTTTTATTGACTTTATCTGAGAATAAATAAAATCTCTCTAGTGGTTGAACAAGAGACTTTTGTATTTTTCCTAAGGCCTACATTGCCTTCTCAAAGAAAGCAGGTGCAATCAGGTGTGTTGGTGCACACCTGTAATCACAGCCACTTGGGAGGCTGAGGCAGGAGCATCAAAAGTTCAAGACAGCAAGGGCAATTTAGCAAGGTCCTGTCTCAAAAGAAAAAACAAAGAGTTGGGGTTTCGGCCCAGTGGTGAGTATCCTGGGATTGTCCCAGTACTGCAAACAGAAGAAGAAAGCACTGTGTGTGTGTTGGTACTGCACCTCTGCCAAGCAACACAGGCCTTCCAGCATGCAGGGGTAAGATAAGACCCCATCAATTTGAGTGCCCAAGTGACAGGCTCCCTCAGAGTTCCAGCATCCCCCAAGTCCTGCTAAAGGCCAACTCTGGTTAACACTCCAAGTGCAGCAGCAGAAGGGCCACTTGGGCTTGTGAGGGACCGTGATCAAATCCTTGCAGGCAGCCCATCCCTCCATCCACTCTTAGTCCCCTGCTGGGTCCTACCAGGTAGAGACTGTGGACACCCACAGGAGCCTGATCTCTGCTTGGAACTAGTCCTTCCAAATCCACTAGGTTGAGGCTGCCAAAGTAGTTGGGAGGCCTGGGGCATTAGTTCCAATGCCAGCTGCCTGGCACCAGCCTGGTTCTTAGCCACAATCCTAGCCATTGGACTTTGGCCCAGTATAGGGGTTGATCTTGGGGTCCTAACTGACCATTTCCCTCCCCATTCCATAGAACTTTCCCCACCCCAACCTCTCCCACCAGCAGTTCCAATTTCCATGTTGCCAGTGGCCAGGTTAGAACTGGGCTTGAGTGTCTATGCTTATCATTTAGGGAAAGCTGGGATTATACAGTAGCTGCACGGAAGTCTTTTCCATATCCCAGCTTCATATAGGAATCTGTGGCAATAGGACTGTGAGGCCACAAGGTGGGGTGCCTCACTAAAGGGTGATTAGACACTGTGGGTTCAGGCTATTGTCTTGAACAGCTGATGCACACCATCCAAAAGCACTGAGTCCTTGCTGGACTCGAGAAACATGAGTGCAACAACTATTAGATCCTAAACTTGGCAAATATGTGGTCTAACCCAGACCTTATATGGAATGAGAAATGGCCCAGAAAAAGAAACAAGTTGCCCAGAAACAGGGCAGTGCTGTGGGATTTGGTGGCCCTACAGTAGTGCACAACATAGAGGGGGTTTGTCTCCAAAATAGAGACAAAAGAAGTCTTCTGCTGGGCACAGTGGCCCATTCCTGTAATCCCAGCCACTCAGGAAGCTGAGGCAGGAGAATGGCAAGTTCAGCCTGGACAACTTGGCAAGACCCTGTTTCAAAATAAAAAAAAACAAAGGCTGGGGTTGTGGCTCAGTGGTAGAGCACTTGCCTACCATGCATGAGGCACTGGGTTTGATCCCCGGCTCCACATACAAATAAACAAAGGTATTGTGTCCATCTACAACTAAAAAAATATTTAAAAAAAAAAATAAGGCTTGAGATATAGCTCAGTAGTAAAGCACTTGACTGGCACAAGGCCCTGGGTTGGATACCAAGTACAAAAAAAAAAAAAAAAGTCTTTGGAGGGGGAAATGGCATGGTGGTGCTTGCCTATAGTCGCCTCTACTCAGGAGGCTGAAAAAATAATGACTGAGATGTAGTAGCACATATATATGTATATATCTATTGAATGATGAGGTCTTTTTTTATTTTTCACTGTGCACACATGTAAGTAGGAGTACATACATCCTACCCTGCAGGTTATACAAAACCAGCCTCATTCTGGAATTACAGTGGCAGTCTAGTCAGACCACACAGTGAGACATCCCCAAAGAGAAGTCACTGGCCTTGCCCCTCACAGTGAGGCCAGACCTCTCCTGGAGAATTTGCTGACTATCACACTGGCTCCAACATTGTCTTCATTTTTCGGTCTACAGGTACCTACCTGCTGGGCATCTGTGAAGTGCCTAGCACTGGACTGGCCCCCAGGACTAGTAGAAATCCACCTGGCCTGCTCCACTCCAGTGTGGAAGACAAAAGTTAACAAAAACCATCCAAATAAGCACAAGATGTGTGAGGAAGGACAGTTCTAGCCAAAACAGGCATCTGGTCCAGCTTGAGGGGCTGCCCTGAGAAGTGACCCTGGGCACAGAGATGCAGAGGCCCAGAAAGAAGCACCAGGGGAAGGGGAGAGGCACAGGAACTGCATCACCCAGGAGTAGGGCAGTGATCCTGGGTCAAGAGGCAGGAGTAAAGGGTAAGACCAAAGAAGTGGAGACAGGCCAGGTCAGGCCACATAGGCATTGGGGGCCTGAAGGCAGGTTCTTCAGAGATTGTGGCCTGAGCCAGAGCCAGAGCCATCTGTAAGACAGGCCGGTGGCGTTTGGAGGAGGAGTCTCACCCACGGGCTACTCAGGACCACATTTCGCCTCCTGGTCTCTGGCCATCTTTTAGGCCCTTAACTGCTCCTAAGTGCCTCTGTCCGCCCCTGGTATCCTTGGCGGGATCTCTTTCTCGGGGCTCCAGGCTCATTAGTGGGTGTCAGAGAGAGGAGTCTTAATCCGATCAAAGGCAGCAGGATAAGTGGCTGGACCAGCGCCCTGCTGAGCCAGGTTCAGCCCTGGCACCTGTGGCTCCCTGAGGCCTGACCGGCACCTGGTGAGTACTGACACACCCAGCTGCTTTTCCTGGCAATCGGGCATCTGCCCATCTGCCCTGGGGTCGGGAGAGGTGATGGGCCTTCACCCGCATGGCTGAGGTCTGTGTCTTCAGGAGTCATCCCCCTTTCCCCTGGTCCTTCAGAGAGGACACCCACCAATGTCAAATGGTGGTGCCAGTGTTCCTGAGTCCAGTGATGGTCTGGGAGCTGCAGTTCCCATGTGACCAACCAGCTGGCTGGCACCAACCACAGCCTAAGCTGCCTGGGGCCACTCAGACAGCATTGCCATGGGAACAGCATTTGATAGTTGGAGATCCCTTTGGGCCCAGAGCTGCCCATGGCCTGGGCTGGCGAAGTGGACTGACTGGGCCTGTGCTGTCTGGAAAGTGAGGGATGGGTACCACCAAGGTCACGCAACCAGAATCACCAGGCTTCTGAGCCCTGGTTTCTCCCAGGCTGGTGCTGGCCCCAGGGACAAGGCCTCGTGGAGGGAAAGTAGGTCCCCTGGGATTGGGTGGACCCTGTCATGCCCTCACAGCAAGGCCATGGTCAGTCTTAGCCCTAGAGCTCCAGAAAGCAGCCAGCAGTAGCCCAAGGCTTCAGTCAGGTACCCCAACCCAAAAGATGGGGGAGCAGGAAAGGGGACCCCATAAGGTAGTCCCTGGGGCACCTGGGGTCATGGGCAGTGTCCTCTGTCTGTGCAACGTGCACAGCCTCAGCTCCTCTGGCCCTGTGTGGGGCTTTGCAGTTCCCTGGGAGATTAGGAATTTCTCTCTGGTGCTAATAGGCTTAGAGAAAGCCAAGGTGCCCCTGGCCAAGGTCCCTGGGGCTTGGATAGCAGATCTGGGGAGGGGTATCATCAGCCTTCAAGGACATCGTTCATCAAGGCACAGCAGCAGAGGCCAGCTCAGCCACGCCAGAGCCAGGGCGACACTGAGCAGAGCAGGCCCCTAGCCAGTGGAAGTGGGCCAGCCTCACTGAGCTGGTGAGGCCTCGGCTTGTCCCTCCATGTAATAGAGCCAGGAGGCACAGGATCTGGTTCTGAGTTGGCCCCTTCTCCAAGGGAACCCCTGTCCTCCCATTTTGTGAGCCATTGTTTATCAGCTCCATGTCACAACCCCAAGGGCTGACAATAAACACAGAAAAAGCACACAAGTGACCATAGTCAGGCACGGGTTCGCATTGACAAATCAGGAATTTGGGCTTACATATGATGTAAAGAAATAAATCAGGGCCTGAGGCACAGAATGACTGTAGGGTAGAGGGCAGGGTAGGCCTTCCTGAGAGGGAACTGGAGCCCTTGAGGGCAGCCTGGGGCAATTTGTCAGGAAGGAAAGGCCAGCGGACAGTGTGGCCAGAGCAAAGGCTGGTGAGCCTAATCGGAAAGGCTTAGAAGAAGGGCTCATTTGAGTTGCATCCCAGTCCTAGCAGGAGCCCCCAGAAGGCCTTCAACAGAATGACATGGTTGGATTCAGTCACTGAGCAAAGGGGAGGGATGCAGGCCTCAAGTGTCTCTAGAGCCACCTGCAGAGACCAAGGCAGCAAGGGGTCCTGCCAGGAGGGGCCAGGAGGATGGTTTTGGCATGGACTGGTTGTGTGGGGCTGGATGAGCAAGACCAGCAACACCAGGGATACAGGGAGACAGCCTGAGTTATGTGTAGCAGTGGGGGCCTCTGGCAAGGCCAGTGGGAATATACCTGGGGGGTATACCTAAGTGGAGCTGAAGGTGTTCCCGGGGTGGGGCTGCTGTCCTGGGCACACCAAAGGATGGCAGGTAGGGCCGTCTCAACTTCTCTGTTCTGTGGGTTGTGACCCCAACAGAACAGGAGGGTTGACCAGAACCCCTGGCTGGTCTGATCTCAGCCTCATGAGGAGTCCAGTTCACTCTGAGGAAATCCAGAAGCCAAGGGTCACTGTCGTGTCTCTGCCAGCCTCGCCATGAACCTGGAGCCACCCAAGGCCGAGATCCGGCCACCCACGAGGGTGGTTGGAGGACCTGTTACCCCCAGGAAAGGACCACCCAAATTTAAGCAGCGGCAAACCAGGCAGTTTAAGAGCAAGCCACCCAAGAAGGGCATCCAAGGGTAAGCAGAGCTGGGGGGGGGTCTCAGAAAGCGGTCCCCCAGGCTGCCCAGGAAGGGGAGATAGGGGCTAGGGAGGGGCTCAGCCACCTCGTAACTGGGGACAGGCAGTTTCCAAGGCTCTGAGCAAGCCAGAAATTCAGCCACTGCCTCACCTCAGGGATGTGTGTGCACCCCACCGCCACACTCTCTATGCACACACAATCATGTCACATCCCACGTGCACACGGAGAAGTGCTGCTTTTCATTGTGCAAGGAAGACTGGCACTTAATGCAGGAAAGAGGTTTATTTGGCTCACGGTTCTGGAGGCTGAAAGTTTTCCTGGTAGAGTTGCTCCCTCAAATCAGCCTCCGGTAAGGTCCCCGGGGCTACATCATAGTATGGTGGATGCTGTCATGGCAACGCTGCCAGTGATAGGGACAGATCCCATGGTGAGATGGGACACCAGGCTCCTCTGTTCTGCAGAGTTATAGCCTATTAATCCCACTGACCTAATCCCCTTCCACTAGGCCCCTCTTAAAGACCTACCACCTCTCAATACCTAATTCTGGGGACCCAGCCCCCAGCGCCCAGCCTTTAAGCACAAGCCACATCCCAACCAGACCAGCACACTTGAACACACTGCCCTCTGCCCACCCAAAAGTCCTCATGCTATGCTCTTGCAAAGGCACACACCTGACCACTTGGCTCACTCCCTCTTTGCTGGGCCTCAGCCTGTGTTTGTGGAAGGGACCCCTCAGGCCTAGCGCAGCAGTGGGAGGTTGGGGAGGAGACCCACATCTCTGCCCACTGTGCTCCCAGCCTGGACCTGGTCTCCTGGGAGGGCTGGGTCCTGACCTCGGACCACTGTCCCTGACTGTTCTGTCCTTGCAGGTTTGGGGATGACATCCCTGGAATGGAAGGCCTGGGAACAGGTATCCCCATGGCTAGTGTTATGCTGAGGGGTTTCCCATGTCCCCCCAAGGCATGCCTGGGGCCCACAGCCCCAGCAACCCCAGCTTCCCCCAGCTTCTTACCTAGGGCACTGCCCCCCTGGCCTGCCTCTGTCTCTTCCCCCAACATCAAGCTTCAGTTCCCACTGAGTGGGGCTGTTCCCACGGGGGAGCACATTTACCAGGCGTGAGGATGAGAGATCCTTGCTGCCCCTCCCCCTCAGATGTCCACGAGGGCATGTGGGAAAACAGGGTGGGGGATTCCTGGGCTATGGATCCTCTCTGACCACATGCTTCCTGCAGACATCACAGTCATCTGCCCCTGGGAGGCCTTCAACCATCTGGAGCTGCACGAACTGGCCCAGTACGGCATCATCTAGCCAGACCTTCTGGGGTCCTGGACTCTCTGCACGGCCTGCTGTGAGCCCTGCTCAGGATCCCTGCAGGGGCCCCCAGCACAGCAGGCACCTGACCTCCAGGCAGGGTGATCTTAGGCCCTGGATGCTAGTTGCCAGGAGCCCCCCTCCCCAGGACACCCTGCTGGCCCCCTGGAGACCCTTGCCCACCCCCAAGCCTTCACCTCCTCCTGACTGGAACAGAGAGAGAACCCACACGTGTCCCCCACTGTCAGCCCCATGTGCTGCTTTGTGCAGGTGAGGAGGACCCCCCTCAGCTCTTCCAGCTGGCATGGGTGGGCCATGGTGGGTGTCGGGAGTCCTGCTTTGCAGTGAGAGAACGAGGCCCTTCATCATCAGCCTTTCCAAAATGACCCACCCTTCTTGTCTCCATACCATAATAAAATGAGCATGTCCCTGCTTGTCTGGGGCACCTCTTTTGTTAGGTCAGACCCCAGGGTGAGGGCTCTGTTGGCAGGAATGCATGGAGGAAGGCTCAAGGCAGGGGTGGGGCAGGAGGGGCTGGCCTGGTGGAGAGGGTGAAAACCAGGGACAACCTGTCCCACTGAACCTCGGCCTGGAGGCCTCAGACACACAAGCCATGCTGTGTCCCTCACTTACTCCAGGGACCATAGTCAGTGACACATGTGGGTGGTCAGAGCAGGCCTCAGCAAGAAGGAGGGGGTGGACAGAGCCCCTGGCATCAGACACCATGAGGCAGGAGCTCTGTCTCCACCTCACATGGGAGGAAACCCAGGCCCCCAGCCTACACTGGGACTGTGCCCACACAACTAGCACACATCCAGGGTGAGCTGGGACTTCTACCCAGAGCCCAGCAGCAAGGGCCACACAGCAGGACCCATACTGGCACTCGTGCCCCAGAGGCTGGATGGTTGCACTGTGTGCCTCCTCAGGAGGGCTGAGGGTCGTGAGGTCCCTCCTGCAGCAGTGGCCAGATGAGACTCACAGAGTGCCCTCTGTGATTCCTCTTGCAGGACATCAGACACAGGTTTCACTGCCCCTGGAGATGAAGCCAGGGCAGGGCTGACAGAGATGAGGGAGTCTGGGTGGCTGGGGACTTCCCATTTTGACCAGGTGGTGGCTCCACCATATAAAAGTCCTCACGCAGACACTTGAGATTGGCAGTTTACTGAATGAATATTACACCTCAGCAAGTGGCTTACTCCTCCCCTAAAACAGACTTCTGGCAGAAGCCCGGCCTCACCCTCTGTGGCACCAAGGACCAGAAAGGACCTCAGGGAAGTGCTTGCAGTGAGGGGGTGGGGTCTGGGGGCCGAGCACAGGCAAGGCAGTGTGGAGTGGAAGAAGGGTAGGGGAGGCAAGAACACCCACCAGGCGCTCTTCCCACCAGCCAGAGGCAGACACGCCAGACATAAGCCACCGCAGCCTTTGCCAGGAGCAATGTGACTTAGGTGGGTCCTGGAGCAGCCAGAGCTCAGTTGGGCAGGTGGCCAGTCCAGCTGGCCCTTGGGATGACAGGTGGCAGAGGCCAGAGGCCTGTGGGGCAGTGGCCTGGCCGGGGAGGAGGGGTGTTTCTCTGACCCCCAACCCTGCAGGTGAGAGAGGCCTGGAGCCCTGTCTATACCGCAGCCTCTCCTCCGCTCTGCCTGGCAGGGAGGCCACACAGGAACCTGTGCTCACAGGGGACCAGCCTCCACAGCCTCCACGGTCTTGTGAGCAGCCAGGGCCTTCAGCAGCCAGGTGGCCAGCAGGAGCTCAGCTCCCTGGACCACCACGATGGCAATGGCACAGCTGCCCAGGGCCTGGATGTTCCCGTGCAGCCACTGCAGCATCGCAGGCACGCAGCCCTCCAGGTGCACGACTTGCCCGGCCGCGTCCTCGTCCAGGCGCAGTGCCCCCAAACCACACTGGGTGTTCACCAAAGCCCCGTCTTCCCAGGGACGGATGCAGCAGGACGCAGGGAGGCTGCAGGCCTGCGTCCCAGGAGAGTCGCAATTAAAGGACCTGTAAGGTGCACCAAGCTCAGTCCTGAGCAGGTCATCTCCTGCGGGCTTTCAAACTCACGTCCACACACACAGGCACTCACACAGGAATGCAGGCCCACATGGGAACACATGCATGCACACACATGTGCACACACACACACACACTTGCACACGCACATACAACACCAGCTTCCCGGGGCCCTGTGCCTGACAGCCCTCTGCTCTTGCAGGCAGGCAGAGTGGCTGTCCGTCTGGAGGGGACAGTTCAGTGAGAAGGCGGAATGGACAGATAGTGTTTGAGGAGGTGAGACTTCCCTCCGCAGGTGCTGCGAGCTCATCTGAACAGGCAGGGTTGAAGCAGAAGGTGGACAGAGTCCACCAGAGGCTTTCAGAACAGTCTGCACATCTCACGGGAAGTGGCAGCACTGAGCAATGACAAGGGACAGGGACTGAGGGGGGCCCAAGGTGGTTGGGGATCACTACTGCAGGGGGTCTTCAAGGGCCCTGGGCCTCCCATGGGCATGCAGAGGCCTGCCCACAGGCCTGGCTTTGTGGGGCTAGACCTCATCTATGGGGCCCCTGCTGAGAAGACCTGCAGGTGACACACACCTTCTCATAGGCTGGCTCAGTCATCGATGGAGGGCACCTCACTGTGTGTGGGGGGGTACTCACAGTGCACCTTAGCATCGAAGGGCCCAAATAGTCCTAGAAACTCTTGGGAACAAATGGTTAGTGTCCTTTGAGTTCCTCTCTTGTGGCCATCTGTCACAAGATCTGGGTATCTCAGGGAGGACAGGCACTGTTCAGGGTGTCTGTGCACTGGGGGAAGCTGACAAAATAGATACCCAGGAGCAGTGCACAAAACACTGCATTGAGCCTGGGGTGCAACTCCGTGGTTGGGCACTTGTCTTGCATGTGCAAGGTCCTGGGTTCCATCCCCAGAAGCATACACAAAAAGTAGTGCATCTTGTCCCCAGACAGACAGTTGTTTTGGTTTTGTTTTTTGTGGTACTGGGGACTGAATGCAGAGGTGCTCTATCTGTGAGCCAGATCCTCAGCCCTTTTTATATTGAGACAGAGACTCACTAAAGTTGCTGAATTGGCCTTTAATTTGAGCTCCTCTTGCCTCAGCCTCCTTAGTCGCTGGGATTATAGGCCTTTGCCACTGCACCCAGCACAATGTTTAATCTCTCTCTCTCTCTCTCTCTCTCTCTCTCTCTCTCTCTCTCTCTCTCTCCTTCTTTCTCTCTCTCTCTTACACACACACACACATACACACACACACACAAACAGGAGGAAAAGCTGTGGAGTCATAAGCTAGGGTGACATCCTGAGTTAACCTGAAAGTTACTTTCTTTTGATGTTGAGACAGCCAACTGTTGAAAAAAGGTGAAGTCTGTTGGTGTGGTTTCTCCATAAGGACCCTGTTTCTGCAAAGCCCTGTCTGGACCAGGACTAAGGAGGCCCATGAACCAGTGGCCCAGAGACCGTCAGGTACCCCTGCACTTCACAGGTGGGGGTGCACATTCATGTGTGAACTTTTTGGAGGTGAGTGTGTGGCTGAGGACACATGAGTGCATATGCTTATACACATGTAAAGCCCAGGAGTGCGCCCTGTGAACCTGTGAGTGTGTGCACACAGTGTGTGGGCACATGTGAGCACATGTAGGTGAGTGTGAGCCCCCGGCCGTGCCCCTCCTCCCCCAGGCCAGGACTCACAGATTCTGCTGCCAGTCCTGGTAGGATGCCACCCCGCAGCACCGCAGCCCCAGCTGGACTTGGTCAAGGAGGAAGCGCAGGTCTGGGCTGTCCTGGTAGTGGGTGATGGCCACGTGCAGGGTGTGCTGCAGGCTGTCCTGCAGTGGGCCCCAGAGGGCTGCCACCAGGGCCCCTGCCATGGCCTCGAGCGCCAGGAAGAAGAGGACAGCCCCGCAGAAGCAGCGCAGTGAACAGCTGTTCTCGCAGAGGGCGCCCAGGCAGCCGAGCAGGCTCACCGCGCTGACTGCCAGTGCCCCCAGCACCAGCACCAGCATGGGGTCTGGGGGCACGATACCCCCCCAACTGCCCCCCAGAGACCCCTTGACAGCCAGGCCCCAGAGTCCCACAGCCAGGGCCAGCAGGGCTAGCAAGGAGAAGAGGAAGTTGGAGAGAAAGGTCAGATACTTGAGGCAGCTGTACCCCATGGGGAGGGAGGGGGCTGGGCCTCCCCCCAGGCCTTTCTTCCAGCCTTGGTGCTTGGCCCCAGAAGGACAGCGGCGGCGACTCCAGGCCCCCACCTGGTCCTCCCTAGGTGGAACAGTGTGGCTTGTGGTGGGTGATCTGTTTGTGAGGACGGGGGGCTCCCAGTGGGCAGCATCCTGCAGAGGGAAGAGGAGCTGGTAGACCTTGCTGGCAAGACCTCATGATGGTCAGCAAGGGGTGAGGCCTCAGCAGCAGGAGTCAGGGCGGACCAGGAAGCTGGATGGTGGAGGGAACGGGAGAGAAGAGGCATGGGGGCCTTTAGGCTTGTCCTTCTGGGCTGGGTAGTAGAAGGGACAGCAAGGGTCCTGGTCTGCTGCTTGTGTGGGCCCAGCCTCCTTTAGAACAGAGCAATGACCATACCCTAAAAGGTCTGCAGTAAAGATTCATCAGGGTGGTGCTCAATAAATGCACTTTCTCCCCTTCCCTGCATACTTGTGCAATTCAGGGGCTGACTTGGGCCTTGCCCGGGCCTGACCTTTGTAAGTCAGGCACATGGCAGGCAAGGCTATTTTTTCTGTGTTTGAAACAGATCTGTTTAGGTCAGCAGTGACTTTGTGTAGTCACAAAGGGGGCTTCCTCACCCAGGCCAAGAAAGGCAGGCCCGCAAAGAGAGGGGCTGGTCCCAGTGGCTGCCCTCCTGCCTCCCCCTCTGAAACCAGTTCTTACATCCCAGGATCTATAAGGTTGCTTCATCAGCTGAACCCTCACCAAGTGTGGATGCTAGATGGGCCCTGTGGTAGAAGATGCAGGAAGGGACAGGCCAGGGTCTGTCTGCCTGGTTCCCAGGGCAGGGAGAAAGGTAGTCAGGAAACTGGGAAGGTCATCTGTAAGAGGCAGTGCCTTCCAAGGGGACACTTGGCCTTCTAGCAGGGTGCTCAGCCAAGCAGGCAGGCATGAGAGGGGCTTCCTAGCCTCTCTGCTGGGTGAGGGAAGCCCCTCAAGTGTCCAGTTCTGCTGGTGAGAACTAAGAAGCTGTGGCCCGGAGCCTGGACCAGGATCCCATGCCAAACGGTGCTACCAGGGCGAAGCTGTCTGACTGCACTGAGACCTGTGTACTCAAACTTGAGCGGAGCTGAAGAGAATTATTTAACCCCTCCCCGGGGTCCTTGCAAATCAGTAGGAGCAAAGAGACAGGCTGCTAGAGCCCAGCTGGCTGGACTGGTGCTCTCTGAGGCAGTGGGCATCCACAATTGGCTTCAAGGAATCTTTGTCTTCCCCTTCTGCTATGCGCTGGGCCAGACTTGCCCCCAGGGCCACAAGACCTGCCAGAGGCTGGCATCAGACTGAGAGAACCACAGCAGTGGGCAGGGAGCTGGCACCTGATTAGTGAAGCCCCCAACCCCAATTTCGGCAGCTTGTCCTCTGGCATCTGCCCAAAAAAGGTCTCAGCACACAAGGCCGGGTGGGTTGGGAGCTGGGCAACCCTGCTAGGGGATTCAGGGGGAAACTTTCCACCCCAGAGGCCATGGGCACTGGCTTACCTGGGACAGCAAGGGGCTCCTTTCCCCTTCTTCCATCCCCTGTGCCAGGAGAAAAATCCTTCAGCACGGGAGCTAGCCCAGGCTGCTGGCTCTGCGGTGCCACTGTGCTCCTGGGCTACTCTGCAAGCTGTGGAGTCCAGGGACTAGGGAGCTGTGAGCCCCACGCGCTTGCCAGAGTCACAGTGGGATCATGTGAGGAGTCACACTCTAGAGTTAGGGCGGCCCCTGCTTGTGCAGGGGCAGATGGTCTTTCTTCTTGGCCCTGAATCCTTTTTTTTTTTTTGGTGTGGGGGATTAAACCCAGGGACTTGTGAACACAAGGCAAGCACTCTACCAACTGAGCTATATCTCCAGCCCTTTGGCCCTGAATTCTTGGCCTGGCTTTACGGATCCCCTCAGCTCTTCACAGGTGCCTGATGAGTAGAGCTGCCGGGGTGTGTGCCTCGTGGCTCTGACCCAGGACCCTTTTTTTTTTTTTATGGGTTTCAGTTTTGCGGTTTCACTGGCTGCTTCCTCAGCTCCCCAGGAGATCAGACCCACAGAAATTGGTTCACAGTACCAATCCCAGTGGACCACCAGAGTCTAAGTGCCAATTTATTTCCCCAGCATATACATTGCAAGGAAGGAAGAGCTACTTGTCAGTTACATTCTTCTCGGTTGTAAGGTACCAGGTTTACAGTTCCACCCTCTGAGCCTCTCAGGAGCAGGACTTTGTCAGGGTCATTGTTGGGTCCTTGCACCTGGGATAAGCCTGGGCACATATTCACCATGTGGACAAAAGTATATTCTGGGCTGGGGATGTGGCTCAAGCGGTAGCGTACTCGCCTGGCATGCGTGCGGCCCGGGTTTGATCCTCAGCACCACATACAAACAAAGATGTTGTGTCCGCCGAGAACTAAAAAATAAATATTAAAAAAATTCTCTCTCTCTCTCTCACTCTCTAAAAAAAAAAAAAAGTATATTCTGGGGCCCTCAAGACTGGATCCCCACCCACCACCAGCTCTAGGCACACCCGGGATTCCCTGGGCTTTTTGGGGTGTGGGAGGTGGAAATGAGCTTTTCAAAGTAATCATGATGGTCCCACAGGTCCTCTGGAAGCCTCAGGGGAGGGGTGTCAAGGAGCCTCCTGCCCATGTGCTTTTATGGCAGGAGGAAGGGTGGCCTGCGGATCTGTTGCACATCCCGAGCCCCCCACCCCACCATGGGCTTCTATCTTTGCCATTCAAGGCTCCTCCTCTCCTGGAACTTCAGAGCCACCATTGTTCTTTTTTGAAGTACTGGGGATTGAACCCAGGGTCCACCACCATTGCGCTTGGTCATCACTTTATAATCCAGCCAAATGGACTGTTTGATGGCCCCATTGACCGCACCTGGGTGCCTTGACTTTGGTCATCCCTGAAGTACCCTTCTTGCACTGTCATGATTGGCAAGAGCTCTCCCATGTTCTCAGCCAGCTTTAGACTACCTCCTCCATGTAGGCCTCCTCTGCAGTCCAGGGAGCAGTAGTCTGCCCTCCAGTCACACATTACATTCTTTTTTATTTTTTGGTATTTGAAATTGAACCCAGGGGTGCTTAACCATTGAGCCACATTATTTTTATTTTTTTATTTTGAGACAGAGTCTTGCTAAATTGCTTAGGGCTTTGCTAAGTTGCTGAGGCTAGCCTTGAATTTGCTCTTCTCCTGCCTCAGCCTCTCAAGATGCTGGGATGACAGGTGTGTGCCACCAAGCCTGGCTCCAGTCACATTTTATATAATTCCACTATGTAAAACATTTACTGTCGGGTTCAGGTGTGGCTCAGTGGTAGAACACTTGCTTAGCATGTACAAAGACCTGGATTCCATCCTCAGCTCTGCTAAATAAATAAATAAATAAATAAATAAATAAAAAAGAGTTCTTGACATGCTATGACATGGATGAAGCTTAAAAACACTGTAAATTACATAGGTTGTGTGCAGTGGTGCACGCCTGTAATCCCAGAGGCTCAGGAGGTGGAGGTAGAAGGATCGCAAGTTCAAAGTCAGCCTCAGCAATTTAAGGAAGTGCTAAGCAACTCAGTGAGACCCTGTTTCTAATAAAATACAAAACAGGGCTGGGGATGTGGCTCAGCGGTTAAGTGCCCCTGAGTTCATTCCCCGGTACTCCACCCCTCCCAATTTATAACTGACAGGAGAAAGTGGGAAGTAGACATGGAAGGAGAGGTCAGACAGATTCTAGGTGGTTGAGAAAGTGCAGAATCACAACATCATTCAAACAAGATGGACTTTATTCAAAATGTGCTCAGAATCATTCTCTGTCTTGAGCTGGGCTGTGGCTCAGCAGTAGAGCAAGATTGTCTAGTATGTGCGAGGCCCTGGGTTCCATCCCCAGCACCTAAAAAAAACCCTATTATTTGTGTTAAGACTTGGCATAGCGCTGTGTCAAGCACCTCACCAGATGTGTCCTCCATCTTGACAACCCACACATCTAGAGCCCGCCAAGCTGCTCCCCCAGCAGGAATCCCAACAAACCCAATGACTGGGCTCTGGCTGGTGTTTCAGTGGGTGACTCTCAGGCAGTCCTCTCATTCCCTCAGTGCTCATTCTGGGTCCAGCCACCTTTGGTCCTTGGCTGCCACCACAGGGCATTAGCCTTCTGCCCCTTCCTTACTGTCCATTCTCCATTCAACCTCCACAAGAGCCTCAAAAATGTAACAGAAAGCAAGTCTCTCAGCCCTCCAAAGGCTTCCCACCGTGCCTAGAACAGAATCGACGCCTTCCTATGTCTGACAAAGCTCTTCCTGATAAGCCTCCCCTCAACCCCACTGCCCGCTGGCTGCCTTGCTGGCCCTCATTGTCCTGGACCACCCAAGGGCACCTCAGGCTGCTTCCCACTGCTCTTCCTTCGGACTCCTGCCAGCATACTTCGTCGGGGACTCTGCTCCAACCTCCCCTTCTGGGAGGTCTTTCTTGATCTTCTTCTGTTTTCTTTTCCTTTCGAGGCTGGTGATTGAACACAGGGACTTGAGTAGACACTCTTCCACTGAACTACACTCCCAGCCCTGCCCGTCTTATTTCAGATAGCTTGCACTGTCCCCAGTCTGCTCTGCTTTGGTAGTATTGCAACCTGACATTACAGATGGGCACGGTGATCTGCCTGCTGGTAAGTCCTACCAGGACAGAGGTCTATCACCAGTGTAAAAGTCACACCACACACCAGGAAAGCAATCGGCACATTTTTGTGGATTTGATGAATAAGCCAAATAACTGCTGAAGTGGAAGTTGGAGAACACGTTATCAACACTGACATCGTGATAATAATGACTATATCAAGGAAATTAAGAGGTGGGTGTGGGGAGGAAAGGAGAATAACAATTTAATTTTTAAATAAGTATTTATTTAATTTTTAAATTGAACAATGAGGTTAAAAGGAATGACCTTTCAAAAGCTCCCAGAGACTCGTAACTTCTTTTTTTTTCCCATAATCATACACGAGATTAGCTACAAAATTCGCAGGGCCCAGGACATCTGAAAGTTAAGTGTCAAAACGGAGCATGAAATCAAGACCAAGGCCTCCGAGCAGCGAAGACTCGGCCGGTGGACCGCACTGAAGCCGGTCCTGGAACATCTACATTAACTAAAATGCGGTTTAAATTATCTGGAGTGCTGTTTCCCTCCGTAGAACCCACCGAGGGTTATTCTTGCGTGAGGTTTCCGGCGCGTGTCTCTTCCGGGTCTTCACTGTGCCGCCCGCACTGACGTCTCTCAGACACCTGCTGCGTTGAGCCGCGGGGCCTCGGCGGTGCTGCCTGCGCCTGCGCGCGGCCGTTGTGGGGGCCGGAACTCGGTTTCCGCACTGCGCGCCCGGCGGAGTTTATTAGGTGACGCACCGGACGCCGGCGACTGGCTGAGCCGGGCGGCGAAGCTGGAGCGGCGGTGGCGGCGGCGGCGGGAGGCCGGGGCCGGGGCTGAGGCCGGGGCCGGGGCTGCGAGGCCCTTGGGACGGCAGGGGGCGGCGGCGGCGGCCCGGGGCCCGAGCGCGGAGGCCGGAGCGGCCGCCATGTCCGAGAGCATCGTGAGTGCGGCGGGCGGGAGCTGCCGGGATGAGGCAGCAGATTTGCCGGCGCCGCGGCCGGGCCCTCCGCGCCCGCGCTCGGCGTCCGGCCGGCCCTGTCCTGGCCACCGGGGAAGGCCAGCGGGCGCAGGCGCTCCGGAGACCCGGCCGGCGCCGGCGCGACTCCGCGGCCTGCGGGTGCGCCCCTCCTGCCGTCGCCGGGCCCCTCGGGGAGAGCCGGGCCCAAGGCGGCGGCGGGGAGCGCCCAGGGCCTGGCTGCCCGGCGCAGGGCGGACTCGGCCGCCCGCTTAACAGGGTGATTTCACTTCTGCCCGACGTTAGGGATCGCCAGGCTCCTCTTCCTCTGAAAGTGAAAAATGTCAGTGCAAATTCGAGGGAAAAAACCAGAGAGACCGTCGCTGGTGGACTTGGGGAGTTTCCCCTCCAGCGTAGACGTGGGCCGGGAGGTACAGTCCGGTGGGACAGTTGTGGTCGACCCACGGAGTATTCGGAATTTCTGGGGTGGCAAAGCAGAGTTCAGCCTTCAGCCCTGGGAAGCCTCTGCAGCTGTGCCGGGTATCCTGAGGCACTTCGGCTCTTCTTTCTGGATGTCTTGGTCTCTGGGAAAATTCAGCTTTTGCATTTAAGGCTTTTCTCTAAGGGTTGCCTCTCCGTCCTTACGGCTTGCTTTAGGGCTCCCTGTCCGACCCCTCGGTGTTTCCCTGCTTGCAGATGGTGCATGAATTCGTGTTCCAAGAGAAACCTCAGAAACACTCCTTTTAAAAATAAAGTTTTACTGTCATTGGTGACTTGCCTAGAAATAGGTTAGGGTTAACAGATCTACTTTCAGACTTTCTATTTAGTTTAATAAAAAATTTTTTACCGAGTCAAAGTAACCTTGTACAGGCAAGACTATTTTCCACTAGTGAATGTAGGCTGGGCTCCCACAGATAGCTTTGTGTGTCTGTAATAGAGTCTTTCAGGTTGTGAGGGATTAAAGTTGA